GTCAGGAGGGACCACATTCCTCCAGCCCAGCACCTGCACTGCCACAGGATGGTGCTCTAGGACCACCTAGCTCCTTGTCTTTGCTTTGAAGAAAGCTTTACATCACTTTTCTCAAAAAGCAGAACCTCTCCTGTCCCCCAGAGTTAAGAAGTTCCCACACCTGCTGGAGTGATTAGTCATTTAAAAGCACTGCATGAACACATGAGGAGACTTTCCCTGAAAGCTGTTCTCAGTCACCTTTTACCATTTCTCCCAAACCTAGCAAAACCAATAGTTGTCTTTCAAAGCCCAGAAGCCCTGCTCAAAAAACCTTCCTTTTTTTTTTTAAACATATACATTGCAATAGGAAAAAAACCCCCAAAATCTGCAGTTAACTCAGCTTCGACGATGCTCTGATTTTCTGAAAATGTTGGGCAGAAAAGACCCCACATTAAGATTTAGCTTTAGATTTTCAAACAACTTCTGAAGTAGTGGAAGTTGTGAACAGGCTTCTATGCTAGAGAGAAACTAGCAACAGAACTCTGCCCAAACCCAGTGCATCAAAGATTTGACAGGGCCTATTTATCCTATTTGTGTTATCTTACTTGCTCAATAAGCTACTAAAGCCAGACCCCAACTCTCCCTTCAACAACCAAAAAGGGAGACTCACACAAAGTCTCTATCCGCAAAAGAAAAGCCCTGCAAGAAGTAAATTTAACATTACCAAATGGTGTTTCTCTAGCACTCCCCACCTACGTACTGACATCCCAAACCCAGCTGGAGCCAGGTTGCCCTCAGCTGCCCCGTGCTTGTTCGCCAATGATCCAGGCACCCACCAAATATAACCGCCCCTCTTGAGCTTTTCCTCTTTTCTGGTGCAGGAGGTCTTTTGAGGGGGCTGTTGGTGGAAGGGTCAGTTGCTAGTAGGGTGCTTTATTTGAGCTGGTGTTATAAAGTTGGCAGAGATGCCTGAAATTTAAGATTAGTAAAGCTTTCTCTGAATAAAGCGGAAAGCTTGTTCCTACTTCTCTGTTCCTCAAGTGGATTGGGGAAGAGCTAGTAATTGTGCCAGCTGAACAATGGAGAAAATTCTACTTTGACTCTTTTTCTAGAAAGGGCTTTGTACTTGCATCATCTTATTTACCTGCAAGCTGCTTCTCTGGGAATACCCACCCAGGATTGCTTTTCTTAGCAAGGGGAAGATTTCTCCAAGCAAAAGATTTGCTGATGAAGAAGAGCCTGCAAGTTTGGAGCTGGTTCTGCTCTGCAGCCCTGCTGTGAGACTACCACACGTAGTTAATTCCCATATCAAGAGCTGGAGTGAGAAATGATTTCAGAGGGTTTTAACCTGTGTGCTGGTAGTGTGCTTCACTGCTTTTATCTCTAGCTGGAATAGTCTCGAGGCTGCTCTGGCTCTTTTCTCTGCTGGTTGTTTCTGTGGTTATTCAAGGAGTTAAAGCCTGAGTTTGTAGTATTCTGTTTGATGCCTGGGTTGCACGTAAAAGCCAGGAATGGTGTAAGCTGGTAATGTCCCCAGGAGGGCAGAGCTAAACCAGTCTGTGATTGCAGATGCCACACTGGTGCATCTGCCTGCCCCTGCAGACAGCTCTGAAAGAGGTTTCTGAATGGCAGAGACACCTGAAATGCCTTCCTAATTTCTTACCCTTTGTATTTTTAATTAGGAATAATAAAAATGTGGCAGGAGCTGCCCAGCTTGTTGAAAGCGCAGACAGCTGTGTGGCGCAGACACATTTAAATATAAATCACAGGCACTTTCAGTGCAGTACACTTCTCCAGAGGAGGTGGAGCTCAGCAGAGCTGGGCAAATGGGAATTGTTTTCAGTTTTCAGACGAGTGATGTAGAGAGGACGATGAGCTGAGACAGTGAGCTCTTGGATGAACACATAGTACTGAAACCTGGGACCGTCTAGGACCTCTTAAAGCCTGGGTGTAGAACAAGGGTGTGGGAGAAAAAATATTAAGAGAGATGCAGAAAGGTTCCTTTATTCATGTTGCTGCTGCAACCTCAATCTGCTGATGTGCCGCGTTCGCAGGCTGTAGGACAGCAGCCAGGAGAGGGGCTGGGAGAGCGCTCCCCTTGCTGGGTATCGCCCAGCAGCTTCATCCTCCTTTGAATGTGACCACATTAGAGGCGAGCCCTTCGGCTGCCTGGTGGAGAGCACAACTTTATTGCCTCTCTCCTAGTAGGCAGGTCGGGAGCAGGTGTAAGTCATCCTCACCTCTGCTGACTCCAGGGAAGTTGTGCTGCTTCAGAACTGCTGTCTCTGACTTTTATTTTTGTTGGCTCCAAGACAGTCTGCTTGCTTTATTTTCAGCTTCAAACCTTTTATTCTATTAAAAGATGCTTCCTTGCTGTGTGAATCAAACTGAATTTGGAGTCCTGTATCCTGCCTAACTTAACAAGTGAAACGTCATTTGGGAGTCTCCGTTTCAACTTGTGTCATGGCTGGTAGAAAAAAAAATTGCTGTAAATTAATAATTTCCACCGTGCCTTGCTCTGATGCGTTATTCTGGCTGGGTGTTTGTGGCACTGTGGGTCCTTGATAGCATCCTGTGTTGTGAAGGAGCGTGTGCCTGCCTGGGGTTTGCCTTGCTTCCGTGTGCTCCCCGAATCTGTTGGCCACATGATGGAGCACTGGAATTGCTGGGGACAGCTTACATACAAGGAATGATTTGGGGCCAATTTATTGGTGGATGGAGTCGTAACACCTCAATTTGTGAACAGCTTAGTGTCCTACCGCACACAGCAGTGTGGTCTAAGGGTTAGAGCGCTGCCCTGACACCTCCAGCATTTGCTGGTAGCCGGTTGATTCACTGTGTTAGTCATCCTACAGCTGCCTCAGCTTTCCTGTAAGTTGCTTTGAGAGCCACTGTGGGGAGCTGAGTATTTGTAACCAGCACGGATGGAAGCGGAGCTTGTCTTTCCGTGGCTGCTGTACAACTGGGGATTTTCAGCTCCGAGGGAAGTGTGAATGGGAACGGAGGGAAAAACCAAATAGAAAGCAGGCAGCTTGATGCAGTAGAAGGTTTATTATGTGAGATTGGTTACATACCACAGAGAACAAAGAAATGCAGACTGTAAAGCAGGTACTCTCTGGCTTCCAGCTGGTACATCAGAGGTGGGCTTTCAAGCAGTGTCTGCTTCCAGAGTGAGTTGCTTCACAAAGACCTCCTTGACTTGGAAGTCAAGTCCTGTTTTCCACCATTTTGCTGGGTTTTTTGGTTTTATTTCTTTCGGTTGCAACAGAACAGCACACAGAACTAAAACACAGTTTCTTTTACAAAATCTCCTCTGGAATAAAGTTGAAAGGAGAGAGATGTTTATTCTTGGCAATACGAGCATGGAAGAGCCTGGTTTTTGTTGGCACTGGACTTGCTGGTGCTACTTGGATGATGCAGTGTTATCCATGTGAGTGATTGTGCCCACGGTAAAACTCACACATCCTTTACACTGGTAGTCATGGAAAAACTCTTCATGCAGTGGGGATCTGAGCCCACTGTGGATGATAGGAGACTGTAGGTACAAAGCTGTGAGACTTCCAAATCCAACACAAAGTAAAACACAAAGAGGATAAAATAAGGGCTGGTTTGTAAAGGTTTCGTCCACAAACCCCAGTGATTGCAGCAAGAGTGGTGCTTCTGAAAGCTGTGAACTCAGCTCTAGGTGTGCATCTTGCTCTTCATCACCTAGTTGCTCTGTGGGCACCTCCCTGGAGCTCATTGTGGCCCATAGTTGTACTGGTAGCTGTTGGACCACTGGTATGAACAAGGATATGAGCTGTGATGGTACACATGAGCTGGAGCGCAGAGCTGAGGGCACCTCGTAATGCCCGGCTGGATGCAGTGTGGCATGCAGAGATGTCCCCTGCCCTGCACGTGGGGCTGAGGGAACGCCAGGGTGCACGGAGCAGGAGCCCTGGGGATACAGGAGGAAGAGGGACCTTCCGCAATCCGTGTCTCAACACAGCGGGGCAAACACGGTGTGGAGCACTTGGGGCTGCTCTGCAGGGTCTTCCTCACTGTGCACAGCTTGGTGCCTTTGGAAGCGCACGGTGTGTACGACACGGATTTCACTGCGCTGGGGTTGTGGCACTGCCTGGGGACTGGTGTGGCACACTTCGCTCCGTTGGGGATATAGCACTGCTGCTTGTATTGATACCCATAATAAGCCATTTTTCTGGGATGGAGATGAACCTAAGAACAAAGTAGGGGAGATAGGTAAATAAACTCCCTGCAGATCACTGCTTGTATCTGACAAGTTGCCTTTCTGCTGTTTGAGCTTGCTGCCTGAAGGGTGCAGGATGCCTTCCAGCTGCTGGCAGGAGCCACTGCCCAGCTGTGGGATGCCAGAGCTGTCTCTGCTGTACTTGGAAGACATGAAGTGTCCATTCCAAAGATGTGATTGAGCACGGAGAAGTGCTGAGAGCTTGGATTTCCTAATTAAAATCTGAAATCTGACTGCAAATCAGCTTTGCTCAGCTTTAGCAAATGACACTTGGGCGTCTGTACTTTGCAAGTTGGTGGCAGTTGCTTTTGCAGATATACAGGATTACTTGAAGAACAAGCTCTTAAGGGTCAGGTCCCAGTTACTCTAGATCAACACGATTTCTTTACAAAGATCTCAGCTGATACTGAACTACAGATGCAGGAGAAACACCAGCCAGGATTGGGTCAGGATTTGAAAGCGAGTAGGTAATATTAGCTCTTCTAAAGAGCTCCCAGAAAATATACATAAAAATTGTTCCAGATAAAAATTAACCTCTGTAGTATTATAGAAGTAATCTACATCAGTGTCTGGTTAGGCTGGAAAAGGTCATCTGTCAACAGAAATAGTTACTTGAACTACTAAAATAAGTGGCCTTTAATATAAGAGATATCTGAAATTCATTTTTTTTTTTCAAAGCCAGTTAAAGATATAGGTACCTAAATGGCCAGATCAAAGTGGAAACATCCCATCCCAAATTGGGTGAGATTCTGCAAATCTCAGGCACAACTTCAAAAACCTATATCTGTCTGTCTTTGAAAAACAATACCGAAGATCTTTTAAAAGGAACAACCCCCTTAATTTTCAGTGTCAGAGTATTTCTGCAGGATCTAGATTCAAGTTCAAAGTTTCAACAAAAGTATATTTTGCTGGTTAGAAATAGAAACAGGCAAATAACTTACCGAGCTCACAGCGGAGAGAAAGAACTGGATCGAAAGCTTGGAAATGTGTGTTTTTATAAGGTCTTTTAGACTGTGGAAAACCTGAGCCACTGTGGATCAAATCCCAAATTAATACAGGGGAGATTTTGTTCGTATGTAACCTTTTCATTGGCTGCAATTATTTTACTCACTTGTGATTATTCATGTGTTGTTATCCCCAAATACCATGAAAAGCACCTCACACCCTGCAGGTTCTTTCCATTTTAAACCTTTGTGGGAGAAGTAAAAGCCGCCTTTTGTTCCACTGGCATCTTTAGTTACATAAAGAAATCTATCCCTCTCCTCTTAAAGCTTGGAAACTGTCATAGCTGAGCTTGCAAGGAATCATGATTTTGTCAAGGATTTAAAAGCTGGCTACGGGGGCAGAGCTTTGTACAGACAGCTGTGGTCCTACAGACACCCTGTCTGATTTGATCAGGTCTGATTAACGATTGTGTTTGTGATATCTGGTTGGGTTCCTTGGGTGAGAAACAAGGAATTACCAGTCTGGATTAGATTATGGCATCCCAGTGGTAGCAAAGAGGGGAGTGTTTTTCTCATGACCCCATTAACTCATGCCATGACCATCCCAATGGCTGCTGGTTTGTGGCCAGACCCCAGCTGTGCCCGTGATGCCTGTACATGTGCCTTGTCCTTGTCCTTTTCCTACACGTGCGGTAATTAGTAGCCTTTGACATCTTGAGACGCATGCTTTGAATTGGATATGTGCTGACGTTTGTTATAATGGAGCCCAGCTTGAAGAGCTTTGCTCATGTAAAACATTAATGAGCATTTCTGAGGGGCATTAAGAGGTCCCATCATGTAGATGCTATTTAATAGCCTTGATCGGCACTATTCTTGTTTTATGTATGGGTAAGTGTAGGTTTGTACAAGCATGGTACCTGGAAGGATCATCTCAATTTATCAGCAAAGCAAAGCTGAGGTGTGAGGTAAGAATAAGCTGTGATCCAGGTCATGCCAGGAGTCATGACTCTGGTTCAATAAAATTCAATGTTCTTGTTGTTTTTTTCCATCTTGGAGAATCTCTTTAAAAGAAGGCCAGCCGATTTTAGTGCTTTGTCTCCCTGATTTTACATAACTAGTAAATATAAGTTTGTATGTTATAAATACTGCATAGCTCATAGCACAGTGGGAACCTCAGCTGCTGGGTAATAACCTTTGGCAATAGAAAAATGGGTGTTTCTTCTTTGGTTCTTAACCTTCTTGGTGATTTTATGGCTTGTGGGTTAATGCTAACACATGAGCTGTCACATGGGGCAATGAGAAGTCTTGGAACCAGTTGATAAATATATTTGTTTTGTATCTTCAGTTTTTAAGGGGCTGAAATTTCATTCTTAAGCTTCTTTAGTGAATAGAGTTGACACATGCACTGTTTTGCTGCGTTACTTCCTTATGGATGTACTCTCTAGCTGGTATGTCTTGGCTGTGGTTCATCAGTTGACTCATCGCTTTTATTTCCTTGTCGTCTTTGGTAGTGCTTGAGCTGGCAGTTGTAACACTCTTGTTAAACAAAATAATCCATATGACAACACCAATTGTGTAGAACAGTAATGAGCTTTTACAACGCTTTCAGAAAGCATTGGCATGCCTACTGTCAGTGTTGTTAGCTTTTATGTTCAGAAAAATGGACCCTGCAATGACATTAACCCCAGGCAGTCTGCAGCAGAGAAGGAAACAAATCCCAGCAATAAACAAATTCCTCTCACGTTGGATAGAAGATCTTGAGTTTAAGACAAAATTATTAACACATTTCTAGAATAAGACTTATTTAGTTTTATTGTCAGTTGGCTAACATGAAAATAGTAATTAGGTATTTAATTCCAATGTTTCTGAGGAATTACTTGGGGGATAAATCACTACCCAATGTAAGCTGAGGTAAAGACATATGATGCAATTCTCATGGTTACCCTCAATTACAGAAGAGGTACAGCCAATTTTCCAAAGGAATTAAAGTGTCTTCTGTCATCCTCAGATATTATGACACTATGAAGATAAAGCTCAGTATGCAGTTGAATTAGGAAAGCATCCAGGACATTTCCCACTGGTGTGGAAATCTTGATTGAGGTTTCTAATCCCAAGTGGCGTATAATGCAATGGGGTCTAGTCCTGCCCTTCAAAGTCACTTTGCTGCCAATTTGATACATAAGGGGTTTTCCTTGGGATCCCTCGAAAGTGGGGAACTTTGTTCTGCAGTGTTACTACAGCCACCTCTAACTGCACCAAAGGAGCGCTTTTCCTTGGAAGAACATGCTGCTGCTGGGAGAAAGGGCTTTGAGGTGAGGTTTAATACAATAGAACAGCCCAAACAAGTCCTCTCTATTACTGCAGAAGTAGAATATCTTTGTTTTTAAGTCAAACTAAGTGTAAATCGGAATAAGCAAGTTGCTCCCCTCGCTGGCCTGGCAGGAGTGTCTGTATGGCATGAGCCATCATCATCTTTGGCATCTGCTGCTGACTCTGCTGAGTGTCGCAAAGCCTCCTCCCGATGCTGCTGTTTATCACAGATGATAACCCCACACTGGCAGTTGCAACTCATCAGCAACTGAGATTCCAAAATGCATCTTCCACTCATTGTTGTGTGTGTGCAACATGTATTGTCATTATTATAATGGCTTTAGGTGCCCTTTTATTGAAGAAGCGACTCACTGGAAAAAATGCCTGATGAAGTCTTGCATAATCCACACCCTATGTAGTGTCTTTTTGCCATTCCCCTAATCAGGTCATGATTTATAGCTTCACAGTATGAGACATCTAATTTTGTATAAAGTACAGCCTTATCCTTTTTTCCCTTTTTTATTGTTAAATCTTGCATGTTTAAAGAAGCGTGTTCTTTGTGTCTAATTAGAAGAGCTGCACTGACTTTATAAAATTCAGGATTTCTGTGCTGTGCCAGAGCTTTGATCAGATTTTGTATTAGCCTAATTTCATTGCAGAACCATGAATCTGGCTACCCCTGGGCCAAGAACCCAGGTTACCCCTCAATTTGATCTCTGTTTACCACTTGTGCAGGAACAAGTCCACTCATGGAGGACATCAAGCACGAACCATATAAACATTTTGTCTTTGTCTAACACGTGAAGGTGGAGTATCCCCTCTACACAAAGCTTTGAAATAGTAGACACTGGAAGACAGTAAAGTACAGGTCATACAGGATAGAAGGACAAACTAATAATTACAAAGTGATTTATTTGAAACAACTGACATTCATTTAACAAAGCTAAGTCTTGAAAGAACTGTGTTTAGTAATTGATTAGGCTGTTATGTATGTAGGTGATTCATGCTTTGGGCAGTCTAGGGGTGGGTATAAAAGCACTCAGCATCAGATCTTGCACACTCATTTCTCTTGTCTTATATCTCTTGTGAAGTAGGTAAGTTTCATCTGAATTCCTCTTCCTAATGAAGCTTTTCTTTGCAGTTTTAAGTCCGGGTGAATCCTGCGCAGATGTTCTTGAATATTGTTCTGAGGGTCTCTTGATGTAAATCAATAAATTTCTGACTGTTCAGCTATTGGCTTTGGTAGATGCAGATCTGGAAGATCAGGTCCAATTAATTTTTTCATGAAAAGTGATTTCCAGATGTTATTGTGTTCAATACAAGATTTCTAGGTGTCTTCTAAGAACTGAGTTATGAAAAGTCTGCCATTCCCTCTAGCCTGCTGATAGTCTATTATAATGTTTGATCATGAAACTTGTAAGAATCTGTGCCTTATCTTTGTACTATCCCCTTGCTCTTCAGATTAACCATCCCTGGGAAATGGTGCACTCTCTAAGCCCGTGCACTGAGGGCAGCACCTCCCCGTGCGGGGTGGCAGTGCCACAGCCCATTGCTGACAGCTGCAACGAGCCCTGTGTTCGGCAGTGTCCCGACTCCAGAGTGGTGATCTACCCTCCGCCGGTGGTTGTGACCATCCCTGGACCCATCCTCAGCACCTTCCCGCAGCAGAGCGTCGTGGGATCTGCAGGAGCCCC